TAGGAACTTTTTCCTAATGTCCAACCTAGACCTCCCTTGCTGCAGTTTAAACCCAAAGAAACCTGAAGAAAGTAGTTGTTAATTTTTCCTTTAAAATTACTGGTTGACTCCTAGATGCACCCCTTCAAGATATTTGAAAGGGATGTCCCGTGACATCCCCAGGGACAGTACATTACAGTATCATTTATGTTTCCGATGCCAGTGTTCTATCCTGCAGCAGAACAATTCCTGTGAAGTAACTTGCATTGTTGTGCATGTGTGATTTACCCAAAAAAGTGTTAGTATATATTTCATTTATTTTGCAGAAGGGAAAAACAAACACATGTAGGTTGCCCCCTGGACAAATGCAAGCAGTAATCCCAGGTCCACAAACAATGTGTTACACTGTTTAACTTAGGTTTGTTCCTGAGACATATAAGTAAGGTTTCCCCATATATTTTTAAGGTGTTTCCAAATATTGCCAAGTAAACCTACATAGTTGGATTCCTATTTACATCTACAATAAACTGGCTAATGATATTGCAAGTTTAAAACAAAAACCTAAATGTACATTTCCCTTCACTGTAACTACATGTTTATGAAAAATGCATTGTGTAAAATTTCCTTCAACTCCTTTCATGGTGCTCAAAGTTTTCATGTGTCCAAGAAGTTAGGAATCAAACACTTGCTCAGATTTTAATGTTGTTTGGAATCACTGGATAGAATAATGCTGCTTAGATCTCCTGACAAATATTGCATTTGTATACTGACCTAATGATAGCAATGTAATGTGATTTTTGTTGGATATATTTTCTAGGGGACAGTTGCTTTAAGTTAAACATTAAAAAGAGGGTGTAAAATTGCTCACATTTCCTTTTTGTTTTAAATAATGGGGAGATGAAGAAGTTTGACCAGTGACTGGTGCATTCACACATTCTTGACTTGGTCTGTGTTTCTATTTTTATGTAACTGAGATCAGAGCGATGTTGAAAAAGAACTGAAATGTTTTCTGTTGCTTTCATAATGATGATGTACCCTTTTATATCCATATTTTGGTTTTAGTTAAATGCTGCTTTTTCTACACATGGTCATTTCTTTAACAGTTTGACTATCCTATTTGATTTTATTTGATTTTGTTTTGTTTTGTTTTCCTTCTTAGATTTTCCTTTCCATGTTTTTGATTGGTTAATACCAGTAAATGAATTATTCTATTTCTTATTTCACAAGCCTTTATTCTTTATTATTCTTAGTAGAGAGCTGATTTATTATTCCTTCTGATTTTCTTCTTTTCCTCATTCTTTTCTTCTTCCTGCATAGTAGCCCCCCCTTTATATTTATACTTTTTTTTTCTATTTCATACTACTTTTCTTACTCACTTCTTTTGCTTCCTTGCTATTTCTTCCCTAGCAACCTTCCACTCTGGCACTGCTGGAGCTCCCTGAGTCACTTTCCATTCCTCGTTTCTGATAAATCTGATATGGCTGGCTGGCTGGCCAGTCACAAAGTCATTCACTTGCCTATATTTATTCCTGAGAGAAAATAAAAAGGCATCGATCCAGGGTCACTTGCATATCCTCAAAGCACTGACTCCCAAGGCCAAATCTTCCTCACATCTCTCTTGGGTAAAATGCTTTACTCCCCACGCCACACAAGAAGAAAAATGTTATTTAATTAGGAGCGGAAGGAACGGTTTTAATTCTAAGCATTTACTAAGCCATGATTGACACATTCTGCTTGGCACCCGCTGAATTAGCAGGTTGTACAGGTGTGCTTTGGTTTGTAAGTAGTGAGAGCCTGATTTGGGGGAGGGGGGGAGGGGAAGAGGGGCAGCTCTGACTGATTTCAATGGGCTTTGGATCAGGCCCTAAATATTTGCTTTATTTTGAGCAGGTCATTGAGATGCCTATACCTTCACTGTTATGGGTGAGAGAAGTAGCAAGAGCTGTTAATTTCATTATCTTGCTTCTGTTGGCTGGGAAGGTTTTTTTTTTTTAAACAAGCTAGTGTGTTCACCCCTTGTTTGTTTGTATACTATTTGCAATGCACAGTCTTTGTAGTTTAAATTAGATCACATGCTCAAAATACCTTGTGCTATTACTTGGAAACCGGTCAGTCCTTGCTCAATTAGCAAATTGCCAATACACATATTCCTTTTTTCTGATCTACAGTACTGCAGAAGTGTTAAATAATTGCAGCCAAATTAACTGTTGTGCTCTGTGAAGTGTCCAGTTGCTCTGTGAAATGAATTGTACTTTAAATATTTTTCCACTGTTTTCTTCCTGATGAGCCTATTCAGTCTGATGTGCAGCGTCGTCTTTATGCTCAAGTCAAAGCTCTTCTCTGGGTCACGTCAGATGGGGCCTCTTTTGAAAGCTGCATCATGCCTCATCTCCAGCCGCTGTCTTTGATGCTTGGCCTCTTTGTTGCAATGCAATGGATATTCAGGGAGTTGAGCCCCACATGCCTTTGAAAAGATTTATAAAATAAATATTAACTAGAAATTGCAGCATACGGTTGGGGACGATAGAGGCAGGCCCTGAGAAAGTGAAATCCACTCAGTGGGCAATAT